GGCTGACATCGAGAAGGAGCTGGCGGAGCTGAGGGAGAGTCAAGAACGGGGCAAGGTCAGCATGGAACATTCGGTCTCCGAAGCCTCCCTTTACCTGCAGGATCAGGTGAGGATTCCACACTCTCCAGCCACAGGGACTAGGGCCCTTCGCAGAGTTGGCTGTGGACATTGGAGATAGTAGACTCTTACCTGATATATAATTTGCAGATATTTTCTCCTGTTCTGTGGGTTGTCTTTTCACTGTCTTCAAAGTGTCTGCCTTTACATCTTTTTTTTTTTAATTGGAGTATAGTCGATTTACGATGTTGTGTTAGTTCCAGGTGTACATGCCTTTACGTCTAGAGTGTTACGATCCTTGGGCACCCCAGAATGTTCCCAGCGAGGAGCGTTGGACTAGGAAGAGCCTCTGAGTGCTCACGGAAGGATCAGATGGGCAAAGCCACTGGACCCAGGGGTCCCACGTCAGGAGTCCCTTTGTGCTAGAGGCCCCGTTCTGGGCCCACTCCAAGTTCGTCAGGACAGTGGTTTGCACCGTTTCATGACCCAGAGCTGATTGTCAGGCCAGCAGGAGGACAGCAGTAGATAGTGCGTTTAAGAGTCATCTGTCATTCCAAAGCTCACAACCTCCGGGGCTCCCTGGGGCCACACCTGGGAGGGCATCCACTCCCTGCTGGGCAGGCTCGGCCTCTTGACTCTTCAGAAGCGTGTCAGCTCTTCTGGTGGCAAGAGTCTCGCTGAGCTCGGGCAAAAGGGAGCCTGGCTGAAAATACATACGTGTAGAGGAAATTGGGAAAAGCAGAATTTCTAGGCCAAGCGGGCAGTCTGGCCAGGGCCACCACCTGTCTGTCTTTCTGTGTGTGTGTCTTTGCCTCTGTGTCGCCTTCCTTATCCATCTCTCTCAAATACCCGCACGTCTCTCTTCCCTTCTGCTCTCAGCCAGCTTTTTTATCTCTCACACACAGTCCAAAAGGGCTGCCCCAGGCCTTGGAGTATTACGCGCTTCCAAGAAAGGGGGCCTTAGGTTGGTGCAGTCCCTCTCTCTAAGCCAGGATAAGACGTCACAGGTCTTTGGCCAGTCGGCTGTCTAGCTGGGACCAATCATTTGTGGGGACAAACTGGGACCATGGGATCCAGAAGAGAGCAGGAGGGCGAGCGGAAGGAGTTTGTTCCCAGCCAGGCCATGAGAGACCCCTGTAGTGGTAGACTTATCACATTCTCTCTCTTTTTTTTTTTTTTTATTGTAGTTTTTTTTTATTGAAGTGTAGTTGATTTACACTCTTATATCAGTTTCAAATGCACACCATAGTGATTTACTGTTTTTATAGATTATTTTCCACGTAAAGTTATTATAAAATAATGGCTCTATTTCCCTGTGCTGTACAATATATCCTTGTGGCTTTTCTGTTTTACACATAGTAGTTTGTACCTCTTAATCTCCTACCCCATCTTGTCCCTCCCCCTTCCGTCCCCCCACTGGTAACCACTAGTTTGTTCTCTAGATCTGTTGAGTCTGTTTCTGTTTTGTTATATTTCCTAGTTTGTTTTATCTTTTAGATTGTACATATAAGTGACAACACACAGTATTTGTTTTTCTCTGTCTGGCTTATTTCACTAAGGATAATACTCTCTAGGTCAATCCATGTGGTTGCAAATGGCAAAATTTTCATTCTTTTTTATGGCCGAGTAGTATTCCGTTTTACATATAAACCACATCTTCTTTATCCGTTCATCTGTTGATGGAAACTTAGGTCGCTTCCATGTCTTAGCTATTGTAAATAGTGCTTCCGTGGACATTGGGGTGCATGCATCTTTTCGAATTAGTGTTTTCATTTTCTTCGGATAATATATACCCAGGGGTGGAATAGCCGGATCATACGGTAGTTCTATTTTCAGTTTTTAGAGGAACCTCCATACTGTTCTCCATAGTGGCTGCACCAATTTACATTCCCACCAACAGTGTAGGAGGGTTCCGTTTTCTCCACACCCTCTCTAGAATTTGTTATTTGTAGACTTTTTGATGATGGCCATTCTGACTGGTGTGAGGTGATATCTCATTGTGGTTTTGATTTGCATCTCTAATGATTAGCAGTGTTGAGCATCTTTTCATGTGCCTGTTGGCCATCTGTATGTCTTCTTTGGAACAATGTCTGTTCAGATCTTCTACCCATTTTTTAATCAGGTTGTTTGTTTTTTTGATATTGAGTTTATGAGCTGTTTATATATTTTGGATATTAACCCCTTATGGGTCATATCGTTTGCAGATATTTTCTCCGATTCCATAGGTTGTGTTTTCTTTTTGTCGATGGTTTCCTTTGCCGCACAAAAGCTTTTATTTATTTAAAAGAATCTATTTTATTTATTATTTATTTATTTTTGGTTGCGTTGGGTCTTCGTTGCTGCACGCAGGCTTTCTCTAGTTGTGTCGAGTGGGGGCTACTCTTTGTTGCGGTGCGCGGGCTTCTCATTGCAGTGGCTTCTCTTTGTTGTGGAACACGGGCTCTAGGCACGCAGGCTTCAGTAGTTGTGGCATGCGGGCTCAGTAGTTGTGGTGCACAGGCTTAGTTGTTCCAGGCATGTGGGATCTTCCCGGATCCGGGATCAAACCCATGTCCCCTGCATTGGCAGGTGGATTCTTAACCACTGCACCACGAAGGAAGTCCCCCAAAACTTCTAAGTTTAATTAGGTCTCATTTGTTTATTTTTGCTTTTGTCTCCTTTGACTTAGGAGACAGATCCAAAAAGTATTGCTACGATTTATGTCAAAGAGTGTTCTGCCTATGTTTTCCTCTAGGAGTTTTATGGTTTCTAGTCTTACATTGAGGTCTTCAATCCATTTTGAGTTTATTTTTGTATATGGTGTGAGAAAATCACATTCTCTTATTGTTATTTACGTTCTAGATGGGGACAGAGCATGTGTGAGCCCACCCTTCGTGTCCCCAGGGCCTGGAGCAGGGCCTGTGTGTCGGCAGGGTGTTTGTGGACTAACGGACATCAGCTCTGTAGGATTTAGCTAGAGGAGATGTGTTCTCACACTGCACCAATGGGCTGGCTGGAGAAAGGTCCAGAAGCCTCCTTCCTGCAAGGGCTTTATCAGCTCCCTCCCTGGGAGCTCTGGTCACTATTTAATGGACGGAGGTCGAGTGCCTCGCATGTGCTGCACACCCTGGGAGGCACCGAGGCCGCGGCACGGCCCAGACCGCAGCGGCCAGGGCAGAAAGCACTCGCTGCTGGCGACTGTGTGGATGCGGCGTAGCTGGGCCTCGCTCACTGCCCTGCACCTGCCCTCTCGCCCGTGCCCAGTTAGACAAGCTCAGGACGATCATCGAGAACATGATGGCCTCGTCCTCCACGCTGCTGTCCATGAGCATGAGCGCGGCCCCGCACAAGCTCCCGACCACCCTGGCACCCAGCCAGATCGACCCTGCGGCCACCTGCCCAGCCTGCAGCCTGGACCTGAGCCACCGGGTCAGCACGCTGGTGCAGCGCTACGAGCAGCTCCAGGACATGGTCAGCAGCCTGGCTGCCTCCCGGCCCTCCAAGAAGGCCAAGCAGCAGAGCCAGGTGATGCCGCCTGCTTTCCTCCGGTGCGGCCGCTCACGGCCCGCCTGCACGGAGCCCCTCAGGGAGTCCCTGGGGGAGGGATGTTTGGGCCACTTTTCCATGATGGAGCCCTTTAGCGACCGCACGGAAGTCCCTGGTCTTTCCATAGGGTCGCAGCGAGGGCAGCCGTAGAGCTGGCTCTGGGGATGGGGGACCACGGGGAAGAGCTGGCTCCGTGGGTGGGGACAGCACAGCTGGCTGAGGGGTGGAGCAGTGCCATTCACATGCCTCGGGACGCTGGCATAGCCTTAGGATTCATCACCCCTCCTTCATGCCGGTCTTCTGGACTCCTTCCCACTTCCCCTCCAAAGGGCAGGCCTGCTGGTGGGGCAGGGAGCACAAGTCCCCGAGGCCTGCCTCTTAGACTCCAGAATTCAGATTCAGCTCAGGGTGGGTGGCGAGGCTGTAGCCCACACCCCAAATCTCAGGGGAGCAGCTCACCACTCCTGGGCCTTGAGACCGCCTCTACTGCCCACCCACCCCGGTGGACCAGGTCCCTCAAGGCTAGTCCACGGGGAGGTGGGGAATTGTGGCGGCAACTGAGGAGATCCAGAATGGGGTCTGAAGTCGGCCTGTCTGCCGGGTGATGTTTTAAGGGCTGACTTACCAGGGGCGGCAGTACCCCTGCGGGTGCCCCAGGGAGGCTGCCTTTGTCCTTCTGCTGCAGGATGAAGAGCTACTGGGCCGCGTGCAGAGCGCCATCCTGCAGGTACAGGGCGACTGTGAGAAACTCAGCATCATCACCGGCAACCTCATAGAGGACCATCGGCAGAGGCAGAAGGACATCGAAGTGAGGACGGGCAGGGGGGCGGGGGCGGGGCCGAGGCGCGGCCCCAGTTCCTCCTTGTTCCTTATTCCCTGCTTGCTCGGCCTCCCAGGTGTTGTACCAGGGTCTGGAGAAGCTGCAGAAGGAAAAGGCCAACAGGGAACACCTGGAGCTGGAGATCAATGTGGTAAGGCTAGGCCGAGGGGCCATCCTGCATCCCAGGGAGGTCCCACCGCTCATTCTTCAAAAGGCTGAGAGAGGGGCTTCCCTGGTGGCGCACTGGTTGAGAGTCCACCTGCCGATGCAGGGGACGCGGGTTCGTGCCCCAGTCGGGAAGATCCCACATGCCATGGAGCGGCTGGGCCCGTGAGCCATGGCCGCTGAGCCTGCGCATCCGGAGCCTGTGCTCCGCAACGGGAGAGGCCGCGGCAGTGAGAGGCCCGTGTACCGCAAAAAAAAAAAAAAAAAAAAAGGCTGAGAGAGGAAGCTAGTCCGATGGGGGATGTGGGCTCAGTGCTGGCGCTCCCACTGCAGGGAGTGGGACCCCCCATGGCTCTCTCCCATCTGGGGGACCTCTTCCTCTCTCCGGGCAGAAAGCCGACAAGAGTGCCCTGGCGGCCAAAGTGAGCCGTGTCCAGTTTGACGCCACCACGGAGCAGCTGAACCACATGATGCAGGAGCTGGTGGCCAAGATGAGCGGGCGGGAGGGGGACTGGCAGAAGATGCTGGACAGGCTCCTGGTGCAGATGGACAACAAGGTGAGGGGTGGGAGGCTCCAGGGCCCCCTGGACTGGGACAACGCCCTCCTCTCCAGGCGCCGCAGACCCCACCTGCTTCCTCAGAGCTCACCTGGGCCCCGCCCTCACCCACAGCTGGACCGCCTGGAGCTGGACCCAGTGAAGCAGTCACTGGAGGATGGCTGGAAATCCTTGCGACTGCAGCTCAAAGAACGTTCTCCGCTCTACCAGGTGGACGAGGCAGCCGCCATGCGGAGGTGAGGCCTGGAAGGGGTGAGGGCAGGCGGGCTGGAGGTGTGCTCAGAGGGAATGGTTGATCTTGCCTGGGACCATCCCGCAGTAGGAGTGACAGAGTTTTAGAGCTTGAAAAGCTCTTCTCGCTCAGGCCAGTTCACATTACAGCTGAGAGTGGGAGGGGAGGGAGGCGTAAGGCTCTCTGGGCACAGGTGCGAGGGGGTCCACAGCCCCCAGAGCTGAGAGCACTCCTGGGGGGCCTGGCCCATGGCAGCCTGAGTCCCAGGATTTCCATTCCTGGCCACCAGAGGGCTCCTGAGGCTTATGCAGGGCAGTCCTGGGGCGCTTGGGAACCCTGCCGGCTTTGGGTTAGGGTAGGTGGGTGCTGGGTGTGTGCCCAGAAGCGGACACGTCTAGGAGCTGGTGAGTCTGGTGGCCTGGGACCCATCACTCTGGGCACTGAGCGTCCAGCCTGCCTGGCCCACAGAGCGCCAAGCCCGCTGGGTTCTCTGTCTCCCGCGTTCAGGACCCTCTGGGCAGGGCGCTTACCCTGTGTGTGTTCCACCTCCTCACAGGCAGCTCCTGGCACACTTCCACTGCCTCTCATGTGACCGTCCCCTGGAGATGCCTGTGACTGGACAGTGAGTGGCCCCAGCTGGTGGCCACGATGGGGGCGGGCTCGGCAGGGCTGCGTCTCCTGTATCCCAGGCCTGTCTCCACCTCCTGTCGGCTCCTGCTGTCTCACCGTTCACTCCGTACCCACTGGCTGCTCCTACCCCGGCCTTCAGCCCTCCACCCCTGCCCGGGCGGGGAGGCTCCTCGGGCAGGTGGAGTGTGGGGAGTGGGTGGGGGGCTTGGACGATGGGGTTCCTCACACTCCAACCTTCCCTTCGCTCTGTCCCTGCCCAGAGTCATCCCCCTGACTCCTGTGGGCCCAGGCCTGCCCGGGCACCGGTCCATCCGCCCCTACACGGTCTTTGAACTGGAGCAGGTCCGGCAGCAGAGCCGCAAGTACGGGCAGCGGAGGGAGTCCTGTACAGGGCTTTGCAGGGGGGTCTGGAGGGCAGGAGTGGAGGTTCCTCCTCACGCCTGGGGTGGGCAGTAGGGGCGGCGCTGCGAGGGTGCTGACGGAGCTCCCAGCTCCTCCCAGCGTGAGAGACTCGGAGGAGAGCGCCTGCCTTTGGGTCCCTGCTGGGCATCCTGGGGGGACACTGCCTCTGAGACCCCCCCTCCCTGCTCATACCGGGCATGTGAGGGAGGGAGGCGGTGGTCCACCAGTGGGTGGGATTAGTGGGTGGGGGGCGCGTTTCACGCCCTCTGGGGCTCCTGCCCTCCTCCCCACGCCTTCCCACCTCCTCCTTGAGGGGAGGATGCCGGGGGCATGGCTCATCCCTCTGCTGCCCCCCCACCCCCCCGCAGCCTGCAGCTGGGCAGCGCTGCCTTCCCCTGGGGCAACCTGGGGCAGACGGAGCGGAGCGTGGGGCGCCTGCGCAGCTTGCACTCCAAGATGCTGATGGACATCGAGAAGGTGCAGATCCACTTCGGGGGCTCCGTCAAGGCCAGCAGCCAGATGATCCGCGAGCTGCTGCGCTCCCAGTGCCTCGGCTGCCCCTGCTACAGACGGTGGGCGGCCGGGCCGGGCCCCCGGGGCAGGCGAGCTGCTGCGCTCCCAGTGCCTCGGCTGCCCCTGCTACAGACGGTGGGCGGCCAGGCCGGGCCCCCGGGGCAGGCGGCGAGCCTCGGCCCACTCACAGCCCACCACCACCGAGAGCCTGGCACAGAGCGGGGGAGTGTGCGTGCGTGTGTAAGAGAGAGAATGTGTGTGAACACGTGTGAGTGAGCATTGTTCATGTGTATTGTACGAGTGAGAGTGTGTGTGTGAGATTATGTGTGTGCATGAGGGGTGGGGCCTGTGTGTGGGAGAATGTGTGTGAACGTGTGTATAAAGGTGTATGAGAATGTATGATTGTGTGTGAACGTGTATGAATGTGTGAGAGTATGTGTGAATGTGTGTGTGTGAACACGTACGTGTGAGTGTGTGTGTGTGTGTGTGTGTGTGGCCTTCAGGGTGGCCGGCCGGGCCATCCTGCTCACTCACCCCCTGCCCTGTCCTGGCTCGAGTGCTGCCCCCCGCCCCACCCTAGGCATGTCCCCGGCCACACCTGCTCCCCGTGACTCCGCTGTCTTCACCGCAGGCTGCCAGATGCGGCCGATCACACCTACGGGAGGTCGCCCCGGAGCTGCGGGGGCAGCCACACCCTCACCTACCCCTACCGCCGCACCCGCCTGCAGCACCTGGCACAGGGCCTGTACCCCACCGAGGAGATCCAGATCGCCAGGAAGGTAGGGGGCACTGCCGTGACGCCAGACTCTCAGGTCCCTCTGGAAAAGCCACCAGAAGTCCCCTCCTGGGCCCTCGGCCTCGGGGAGGTTTCTTAGACCCAGTCCAAGTGTCAGGTTCTTATCCTTTCCTAGGAAGAGGAATGCCAACCCGGCCACCCGCCCACCTGGCACTACCGCCTCCACCACGGGCCCCCCCTTCCCCCGGTGGCTCGGCCCTGGCGCTGCCCAGAGCCCCCTCAAGGGCTCTGAGCACCGTTTGGTGCCGGCCTCAGGTGAGGACCACCCTCTGGGAGGCAGGACGGGAGGGCAGCTCTGAGCGGCACTCGCCCATCTCCACAGCACGACGAGGTGGATATCCTGGGCCTGGACGGACATATTTACAAGGGACGGATGGATACAAGGCTGCCGGACATCCTGAACAAAGACAGTGAGTGTCCAGGTGGCCCAGAGGCCCCTCAGCCTCCTTGCTTGGGTCCCACAGGGTCCATCCAGCTCCTTAAGGCCCTTCTTGTGGCCACCGGGCCCTGCCTGCCTTCCTCCACCTCCCTGACTCCAAACGTTCAGGTCTCCAAAAGCCTCCGGGTCAGTGTTTGCAGAAGGGGTACAGCTGTCCAGTCTCAGCCAACTAGCTGGGATGTGGCCCCAACTTTCCTTGCCAGCTTTTATCCTCAGACGCCAGCCCAGTCTTCCTGCCTAAGCCTCTGTTCCCAGCATCACCGAGGCCAAGTCCTACCCCTTCTTCATAACTCAGAATACCCTCTCCTGAGCCCCCCACCACTTTGTGAATCACCCGTGTCCTGGAATGTCCCCTTCCAGTTAGCCATCCTGAGGTGTGCCATTTGTCACTTCCCACCGGGTCTCACCGCCACGTATGCACCTTTCTAGTTGCCTCCCCTCCCGAACCATAAACCTGGAGTCAGAACTCACCCAGCACCTGGCACGGGGCTGATGTCTGTGGGTGGATATCCGAGTGAGTGAGTGGGTGGATGGATGGATGGACAGACAGATGGCCGGGCGGACATTTCGGTGAATGAAGTGCTTACAAGGGGCATATCCACGAATAAAGATGGAGAAGGACACCAGCTGAGGCTGGCTGTGACCAGCAGCGCTGCAGCCCTCTCCCCATCCCCATGGGTCCCCACAGGGCTCCCACCCGGTGTCTCAGAACTGCCCCTCCCCTCCACTGTCTCCATCAGATTCGGGGATAAAGCATAAGGCCAAGCAGTCCCGGCCCCACGTGCACCGGCAGCAGTCACTCAGCGACAGCGGTCAGCTGCCCTCACGGTCCCAGAGCGCTCAGATGCTGGCTGGCAACGACTCAGGTAGCTCCTCTCTGGATGGCGGGTCGTGGCCTAGGCACTACCCCTCGCCTCTCCTCCTTGGCCCGCCAGGCCCCTTTCCTGCCCATGACTGGTATATACCTTTATTTCCCTGGAGAGAGGGAGGGCCTGGGAGCTGAGGGACGGGATGCAAGGGAGGAGAGAGAAAACCCTTCATTGCTGAGAGCTTGATAATGCGCCAGGTCTGTGATCAGATACTGTTACTGCCCCCATTTCACAGAAGAGGAAATAGGGACAGAGTTGCAGCCCAAGCTCTGGCTCCAGGCCCGAGCCCATCCCCTGCTCACGTGTGCCGACTCTCACCTGCCCAGTGAGATGACACCTGCCGACAGCTCACCTGCCCAGTGAGATGACAAACCTGCCAGCGGGGCTGGAGATGCACGTGGACGCGCCTCCTGGGGAGGGGCTCGAGGAGCCCATTCCGGGGCCAGGCTGAGCAGAGCTATAAATAAATGTTTAGGAAAAAGCTTGGGGCCTTGCAGCTTCTCTGGTCCTGGCTCAGGAAGGTGGAGTGAGAGGCAGGGGCCGCTGCAGGTCGGATGGCAGACCTCTTGCAGCCTGACCATTAGGCCATGGAGCTAAGCCCCCTGGCCTGGAAGGTCCCCCAAAGTCCCTGCTCTTCCCAGAGGGGCTAAATCCTGCCTGAAAGCCGGAGGGCTAAGGGTTCCCTTGGGGTTTGGCTACACATGGGGCCAGAGAGGGACAGTGGCCTGGAGCTAGGAGGCTGGATCACTTCCAGGTGACTCTGAGCACCTCTCCCCCTTCTCTTGACCAGTTTCCTCATCTGTCGATAAAAGGGTGCTGGATTAGGGCTGCTCAGTTAGGCTCCCCCTTGAGAGTCTAAGAAAGGTGCTGACTTTCTTCCCATCAAAAGCTTCGCACCCACAATGCTTTGCAGCTACTTCCGGAGGTTCAAGGACCACCCCCACCCCCTGCCCAGGTTAAGAGCCCCAGCTACACCCCCCTTCCAGTTCCAGCATTCAGTGGGTGCCTGGAGGAAGCAGAAACAGAATAAGCGGAAACAGAATAAGTGGTGGTCATGTTGCCGCGCCTCTGTTGAGGGTTCCTGACCGGCCAGGCACTGCTGAGGAGCTTTCCACCTACAAACCAGTCTTCATCCTCATGCATTAAGAGGCAGGGACCACTGTTGGTCCCACCTACAGCTGAGAAAGCCGAGGCACAGAGAGGTTAAAGTATTTGCACAAGGTCACACAGCTAGGAAGCAGCAGAGCTGGAGTTCAAAGCCAAGCCATCTGGCCCCAGAGCCAGCGCTGGTGACAAAGGGTAAGAGCCTGGGATGGAGGATTCAGCAGTGGACCGACAGCACAGGTCTGTGGCTCTTGGTTCCGAGTTGATTTCTTGGGGGTACTTAGCTTTTTTCTCCCCAGCACTCCACCGTCTACTCCAAGGGCACTTAAAAAGTGTGGACGCAGCAGCAAGAGGGAGGGTAGTGTTAGGGAAAATTCCTGCACCTATTTGTGTCAATATTGCCTAAACAGTCCGTGTATTAAGAGGGAACGTTACCAAAGAGGCAGGCTCTCAGCCCCTGGTGAAAGCTTATTTATTTTTAACTCAGATTATAAAGGAGTGTGACTTAGGGGCTCGTATGAGGGCTTGCCACCCCCCCACCCCTCCCCAGCATGATGCCCTAGCTCGGCCTGGCTACTGGGGCTGCTCTCGACTTCCCTGGGCTTCGCGCTAGCTGGGCTGGGCCGCTGGCGGGCGTGGGAGCAAGACAGAGCCAGGTCTGCTCCCTGCTGTCTCGCACATTCTTCTCTTCAACGGAAAGACAGACCCGTCTCCACCGAGGGGCGCCTCTCCCAGCCGAATACAGCTCACCTGCCCAGTGAGATGACAAACCTGCCAGCGGGGCTGGAGATGCACGTGGACGCGCCTCCTGGGGAGGGGCTCGAGGAGCCCACCCCGGGGCCAGGCTGAGCAGAGCTATAAATAAATGTTTAGGAGAAAGCTTGGGGCCTTGCAGCTTCTCTGGTCCTGGCTCAGGAAGGTGGAGTGAGAGGCAGGGGCCGCTGCAGGTCGGATGGCAGACCTCTTGCAGCCTGACCATTAGGCCATGGCCCCCAAACAGGTTGAGCTGTTCTCTGAGGGTGCCAGGGCTTCGAGAGGGCTGAGTGTTGGACCCAGGGCCAGGAAGAGGCAGCACAGGCCAGACCCCAGGCTCCGGGGACTGGCGGGCCTGCAAGCGGTCTGCCCTCTCCTGACCCCAGCTGGACCTGGTGCTGTGGCCTTCTCTGGCACTGGCACTGCCTTCCATCTGGGGAGGCTGGCCAGGGCACTCTGGTGAGGTTGGGAGCCTCATGTCTGTGCTTGAGCTGTTCCTTGTGTACGAGCTGTACCTTGTGTATCTTGGAGCAAAGGTAAGGGTGGCAGCCCTCCTGCTGCTGGCAGGGAGGCTCCTGGCACATCCTGGGGGGGAGCAGTGCCACCAGCACCTGGGAAGGTTCCCGTTTGCTGTCCTCTGTGGCTTACCCTTGAGTGGCTGCCGCAGACTCAGGAGGGGCGCAGACCCAGGGGCCGCCAGGGCTAGGTCGTGTCCCTATTCCCCTCCCTTCCCCACCCCTCCCCAGGAAGATAGAGCAGAAGTGTGCCTGGCATTTGCCAGGGGGTCTTGAGGCCTGGCCCTTGCCCTGCTTCAGTGTCACCCCAAACAGGCCAGAGGGCTCACTGCTGTCCCCCAAGTCAACTGTAAGGGACAAGCGCGTCCCCAATCAAAGCCCCAGGGACAAGGGAGTGCTGCCCCGCACCCGGACGGAGGCCTCTGCAGTCATGGAAGCAGTTTTCTGCCTTCAGATCTGTTCTCAGCAGCTCCCTCTTCCAAGGTGGGGTTCCCTCCCTCCCCCCCACCACCCCCAGTCCCCTCTGACATGGGAAAGGGATGTCTGGGCCCAGTAAGAGGGCTGCTTCAGGGTGTGAATTGAGGGATGACAAAGTCACACAGGAAAGTGTAGCAGGAAGTAACCGAGAAAAGGGTTTCTCCCTCATCCCCCTGTGGGCACAGGAGGGTGGAGTTGGCTGGGGTGTCATGGGTGGGGCAGGCGCTCCCTGCGGGAAGGGGCATCCCCCATCTCTCCCCATCTGCTGAGATCCCGTTCACTGTTGAACGCTGGGGTCCCAGTTGGCACCGCCCACACCCCCCACACCCTTTTCTCCGCAAGGGGCGGCAGGGCCAGGCCCAGGCCTCCTCTGCTCCTGCCTGAGAAATGTCAGGTCACTGGCTCAGTGTCCCTGCTCTAGAATCCAAACTCACCAGCTTGGAAGGGAAGAGCGGCAGCCAGGCCTCCCCGATGCCCCGGAAAGGATGAGGGGTGACATTCCCCAAGCAGCCCAGGCCACCCCTGCCTCCCCGCACCTGGACCCGCCTGCCTACGCTCACCCAGGCCGCCCAGCACTGACCGCCCACGTGCCCACGAGGGGCCTTCCCCTTCCAGCCTGGGAAAGCACAGGTGGGCAGAGTGAGGGGTGCGGGTGGGAGGAGTCTCACAGGTTTCCAAGGAGGAAACAAAACTGAAACGACAAACCCAGCTTCAAAGTACATGATCACATGCAGAGGGACCAAGGACAGCTGCGTCCCCAGTTCTCCACCCCTGCAGGGGCGGCCCCACAGGTGACTTTGTGAAGACACACGAGGCCCAGGAGCAGCACGGGCTGGCTTGCCAGGTGGGGCCCTTCCCAAGTGTCACTGCACGTTGGGCCTGAACCTCCAGGCCCCGCAGTCCTGATCGACAGCAGTGCCCGGGCTGCTGAGAGAGGGAGGGAACGAGCCCACTCACACATGTTAAAGGGGTTTGTTTTTTGCGGGGGGCAGGGGGCTCAGGAGGAATCCCAACCCTGGGGCCAGCCACCCACTCCTCCAATTGGGCGGACAAGCTCCTCATGCACCTGGCCACCTGCGCTGGAGTCTGAGAAGAGCCCAGCTGCCATCACTGCTGCTTCCATTCCAGCACCTGAAGGCCGAGCGAAGGGGGGAAGGGAAAGGAAGCCGGTCCTCTTGGGGACCCACCCAGTCTCTGTGGCTCCCTGATCGCCTCGGTTGACCTTTGGGACAGGGCCACACAACATACACATGGGGACAGGTTACCCCAAAGGAGGCTGAGGGCAGGGACAGCAGAGACAGGTCCAGCGGCAAGCGCCTGGGGGAACAAGCAGAAGCGTGGGGCTGCCATTGGGCCCCCAGGCGGGGAGGCAGCTCCCCCACTGCAGGCAAAGACAGGGGCTCCAGGGCTGAGGCCTAGCCTGCGGTGGGCTGCACGGTGGCGAGAGCCAAGGGAGAGGGTTACCGTAACCAAGCCAGGATCTGTCCTTCCTCTCCTCCCCACGCACAACCGGATCCAGCCTGTCGCGTGGCCCCCTGGCCAGGATGCCCCTTATCAGAGCGTCCAGACCCGCCACGTGGCAATGGAGCTGGTCCCCCAACCACAGCGCAGCCGAGAGCCTCACCACCCCTCTGCCCAAGGAGCACGCTCTCCACACCAAGGTAAAGAAAGGCACCGCAAACCAAGCAAGTTAGAAAAGTCTCTTTTAAGTTTTAAATTAAAATTTCACCCTGGTGAGATGACTGATTTGGGAACTAAATCCAAAGGCAAGCTCTCCACTCTGTTGTCCGCGGCTGGGCTGCACGGTGGAAGAGGCAGGGCAGCTACGGGGGTCAAGCCCACTGGCCGAGCCCGGGCCTCTGACCCCAGTTGGCTCTTAAAGTCCCGCACAAGCCCTGCACACCTAGATGGAGACAGGGGTGACACCGGGAGAGGCGACAAGAGCTGGAGAGCCACTGGCTGGGGGTGGGGAGAGCCTCAGGACGGCGAAGAGGGCCCACACCTTCACCCAGCCGGCGCACCCCTCCTGCCGCCATCACGTGGAGTGGAGAGGTGGTGGTCCTTCTCCTGATTCCAGAAGGTGTGGCCTTTGAGAGGAGGCAGCCGGCAGACACCTCGTGACTGCAGGATCACACCACCTGGCTTCCAAGCACCTGCGCCCGGGACCGGGGTGGAGGACGGAGTGCTGGCCCAAGGGGAGGCTTCTCTGGCCCTTCCCCACTGACCCAACACCCGTCAGCCAGCCCCGTTCTCACACACATTAGTTACTTTTATATATTCATATATATATTATAGTTATATATTAAAAAGAGAAAAAAAACTTGCCTGAAAACTCCTGAAGGACCCAAGTGGCTCAGGAAGTTTACTGTCCCCTCCACCCACAAAAATTCTCTTATAAAATCTTCCAGTGCGATCTTCAGGAAACCCCGCCCGCCCCAGCTCCCCCCACCCCGCCCCGGCCCTCCTGTGTCCCCACGACCCTGGACTGCCCCCAGCTCCAGCCCAGCGCCCGGCGGCATCCAGTCTCATCTCTGGCCATCCATCGCAGCCACGGCTTTCTGCTGGGTGCCCCCCTGCTGTGCTCCGGGCGGCCACGTGGGCTGCGGGTGGTGGAGATGGTGGAAGCTGTGGGCCGTGGGGGAGGAGGGTGGGATCCAGGCGGCCTGGTGGCTGGGCGGGGACGAGGCCCAGAAGGGGCTGAAGCTTGCCGGGGGGGAGCAGGCCACCGCGGTCATGGGGCCGTTGTTGTTCTGCAGGCCCTCGGAGGCGCGAAGCTTGGAGAACATGGCCAGCGCGTCGGGAAAGTTGGGCGGCGTGGCAGGTGTGTTGCTCGGGGTGCACATCTGCTGGGAGAGAACACTGGGGTTGCGAGGGCTGCCTGCACCGCCCCCACCCGTCGCCCCGATCCCAGGCCACTGTCTGCGGGTCTATAGAGCCTTCCCACGGGGCTCACCCACACTGGGCCCTCCTTCCTCCCCGTTTTTCAGTCCATAAGCGGTTTCAGCAGCACAAAAGCACTCCTTGCACCCTGAGCCAATAAAAACAGAAAACCGGGGGCGGACTCCTACAATTTTTGTCAAAACCAAAGAGTGTTTCCTGATGTTTGGGAATGACGCTCTGAGTGTCAGAAGTAGATGGTTAATTCCGGCAGAAGCTAGGGTGTCAGATTGAAGCCAGGACAAGGGAGGCAGCCCAGGACACCGCTGCTGAGCGCCTCACCCTGGGTGAGAAACCAGCTGGCTCCTCAATAATCCGCCCTCAGACGTTCCGAGGTTGTTAGCCAAGGGAAGGCGGCCAGATCCAGGATCTCCCTCCTATGCCAACCCCGGGGAGGCTGCACTTGCTAGGTGCTTGGGTCCGTTCCACATCCACAGCGCCAGCCAGCGGGCCTCGGGGCCTCAGCCTGCGCGCTCTCACTCCTCACCAGGGTGCTAGGTCATTCTGATGGTCTTCTCGGTTACAGATGAGGAAACTGAGGCCCAGAGCTCAGGTCACTGGACCAAAAACACACCGCTGCAGGGCACAAGTTGAGAAGCCCGAATCCCGGGGCTCCCAGGTCTGCGGGCCCAAGCTCTTAACCTCTACCCAGCCCCACTCTGCACTTAAGAGTCAAGTGCACCTTCATGCCTGGGCTCCCCGAGGACAAAAACCGGCGTCTCCCAGCAGGCTGCCCTTGGCCAGATGCTGCCAGTGTCTCGGTCCGCTCAGCCCCTCTCAGCCCGCTTTGTGAGGGCAGCTGCAAACATCCCAGCATCTGCTGTCTTCTGCCACTACCCTGAGCAGGGACCCCAGCCAGGAAGGGCAGGGGCTGGGCTGCTGGGCGGTAACTGGCAGCCTCCCTGCAAACAGCGGGGACCGCAGGCCTCCCAGCCCTGTGGCGTGGGGGGCATGGGGGTGCCACCCCCCCGAGCACTTCACCAGGGTGCAGGGAACAGGCGGCAGAGAACAAGGCCTGCCCAAAGCCAGTTCTGACCCCGCAGCAGCTTCTCCCTTTCCCAGGAAGCCACGGGAGCCCTTCTTTGAATTTCTCCTAATTTTAGCAACACCGGCCCCTCCCCCAGGCAGAGGGCTCAGGGAGCACGATTCTAGGGCTCCTCACCTTGCTCCCAGGGCTCTGTCCCGGGAGCTTCCACAGCTCTGCAATTAAACCCCAGCCCAGAAGGAGGACAGGCCCACGGGAGGGGGGCAAACCCCCTCTGATGAACTGGGCCGGCTCCACATCGGCAGCTGGGGCGCTCCAACCAGCGTCCTCTCCAGGGAGGCCACAGGACCCGGCCTGGCCCCACCCAGACCATTTCCCTCCTCCCTTCACTCCTCCCCTCCCCCGCCCCCCCCCCAGGGCTGACTTCTCGGCAGCAGGAAACAATGAATGGGGGGTTGGGGGGGACAGGCCAATTGCATCACAGCATCGTGACCGACTTCCCCAGTTCACCGAGCCAGTGGAGCCTGTCTCCTCGGCAGCCACCCTGCCCCCGGCCCCCGACAGCGGCAGCGGCCTGGATCCGGGGCAGGCCTGTGCCCACCTGCCTGTGTGAGCTCGGGCAAGTCCCTTAACCTCTCTGGAGTTTCTCTCTACTTCTATAAAACCAGGGGTTCGGACCAGGTCCTGTAGAAGTCCCTCCAGCTCTGCTTCTAATAGCTGTGGATGGAACTTTCCAGCTCTCAAGCACACCCAGCGTCCACTGCACCCCGCTAACGTCCTACTGCTTCGCATCCAGTGTCTTCCTCCTCTTCCCGGCCCTTCCCCATCTAACCCAGGAGCCCTCCCTTATCTAGGAAGATGCCTCCGACTGTGTAGGTACAGTCATCTATGGGACAACCATTTATCAGCAGCTCTTGGCCTGGGTCACTTCTGGTATTTTTAATCTAACATTTTCCTTTGATTTATATTATCTCTAAAAAAAATTACCAACTCCTTGAGGGCAGGGATGGCGTTCTCATGGATACACTGATCATAATGTCTATTAAAAAACCAGCCACAGCCCTTGAGGGAAGCTTCAAAAAGATGACAGTCCCTCAGGATTTGCAGGGAAGGAGCAACAGAACCTAAAAGGACCATCAGTCCCAGCTCTCGGGGGCGAGCCCCTCTGTTCAGGGCAGCACAGAGTGGCTGTGCTGGAAGCCTGGGCCTTTTGAAACGACCACAGTTGGTGGAGCAAACCTCAAGGCCCCTTTAGGAGGAGACGGAGGCAAGACAGAGGCAAGCTCCAGGCTCACACCCGAGCTTCCCACGGTCCGGTACAGGGGAGGGTCCCCTGGAGATGAACCCCTCTTGGGTTTACCAAGAGCCCAGCCTCAACTGCCACAGCCCTGCAGCCAGCATAATTCTCATCATATTCCGATGCAGTTTTGTTTTTTGATTTATACAAATAGCATGGGCTATTCCAAGAGAAAAGCTGGTTAAAAGGGTCAAAACAGACCCCCTCTACTTGTCCTTTGCAACTAGATGAATACAGAGCGCCAAAGACAAGACACAGCAGAGGAACCATTTGCAGCTTCTCCAGGCAAGGCAGCAGCTCTGAGAAGGGAGCCACGGGCAAGGACACCAAAATGCCAAAAATGTACTCCAGAAGCCATAACAGATCTCCTGGGGAATCATGTTTTACAATCCCTATCTTGAGGCCCTCCCCCCACCAGCAGGGCTAATAGGTAACTAGAGAGGTAGAGAAGGCATTCAATCCTCTAAAGTGAAAGGGATGTCCTATGCCTGTGGAAAGCAGGGCAGGAGGGCAAAGGCCCAGGCCTGGGGCCAGCTTGGAAAAGAGACGAAAGCAAATGCAGGCCTGAACCACTTCTGTTTCCTGTGTTTTATGTATCTTCACCTACTGAGATTAAACGCATTCTTGGTTTATCTTGTCAAAAATCTGTAAGTCTTCCACGCTCAGGGTAGGTCTTTTTCCATGAACAGGAAAGAGTGAACATAACTCTCTGGGGGGAGCCCAGCTCCCAGGCCAGGGTGGATTTATCCCTTTCCTGTTCTCTGCAGAGCTGGGTTGTCTGCATGGGGGGCTGCCACTCCAACAGCAAGACGGGTGCTCCATATAGACAGACATTCCAGGTCTCAGTCCCCTCGGGGCCCTTCACTCGGCCCGGGTTCCCCCGACGTCTAGTTGTCGTCCGAGCCCCCCTCCCCACTCCCTGCAAGCCGGCTACTCCGCCGGCCACCCTCGCCGCCCTCCTAGCCCCTGGCCCAGGGGGAGCGCCGAGCACAAGGCCTCAGGTCGAACTACAGCAGCCCAGGAGGCCTGACTGCAAACTTGGGCGAGCCAGCCGGCCCCGGGAGCCGCTCTTTCCTGGAAGACATTTTGGCTCTTTGTTTACATCGCGGCTCGGCGCTCCCCGGCAACATGGCTGTCACCGTCGGCGCCTGACAGCGGCCCCCGGCCCGCGCCCTCGGCCGCCCGGGTGGGCTGCGGCCGCGGCGAAGCCGACCCTCCAGCCCGCCGGCCCTCCCACCGGAGCCCGGCCACACTTACCATCTGGTGGTGGTGGTGGCTGTTGGGAATGTTGGTTTCTTGGAAAAACGTGCTCAGGGCGGTCTGCGGACAAACATAGCGGCAGGGCGGCGGTTAACGGGGACGGGGCAGGAAGCCCACCGGCCGGCCCTGCCCCACCGGCCGGGCTCATCCGCAGTGTCCGCGGCGCCGCGCTCGGGCCGCCGGGCCCGACCCCTCGGACAGCCGGCCCGCGTCGCTCGAGGGGACGTCCCCGGGCCGCGCGCGGAGGTACAGGGCGGCAGGGCCCCGCGCCCCACGCGAGACCACGAGGTCACTGAGCGCCTGACGGGGCGATATAAATAGAGCTTCCCTCCCCCCACCCCCTTCCGTGGCGCGCGGCCGGGCGCCCCGGCCTGCGCCTCTGCCCCAGTGCCGGCGGCCGGGGAGCGGGGCCGGCCGGGAGCACTCGCTAGCTCGGCCCGCACGCACCTCGAACTGCCAGTGGGCCGCCTGCAGCAGCTGCTTCGCCTGGTCGGCCGCGCAGCCTGCGGCCAGCACGAACTGGTTGATCATGACCTGGTGCCGCAACTCATCCATGTTCACCGACATGGCTCCGGCCGGCGCCCCCTCCCGGGATCGGCGGCCGCGGGAGGCCGGCCGCCCTCGGCTCGCGCTCGCCGCCGCCCGCGGCCTCCGGACCCTCGCCCGCCCCGCCGCCCGCCGGGCGAGTGTTGTGGTCCGGCTCGCGCGGCCGGCCGACACCACAAACAACAGTGCGGGGCGGGGCCGGGTGTCCCAACGTTCGGGGGCCGCGAGCCGCCGCCGCTGATTGGCCCGCGCCGCTCGGCCGGCGCCCGGCTCCCTGGCAGACGTTCGATTCGAATCCTGCGGCCTGCGGGCCCGCACTGTTTCTCTTTCTGCCTGGCCGCGCCCATTGGCGGACGTCGGCGTCGTGGGGCTCCCCGGTATTGGCCGGACGCTGTGTTTTGGCTCGTCCTGGCTCATGATTGGCCACGGCCCGGCGTCTGGGGAGGAGCCGCGCGCGCTGATTGGTCTCCCTTGGACCTGTTTGAACTCAACTTGAAAACCTTGAGTGCCTGCTGATTGGCCGAGGCCCCTCTGTTTGCTGTTGTAGGCTTGGGGGTGGCGCAGCCAAGTTCATTCATTACTTCATTGAAACTGAACATGCTCAGCTGGAAAAGCAAGACAGAGTGGCTTTGACTCACTTCCTCTGAAAGATGTGGTCATCTCGAGAAACAGAATGATCAAAATAGAAAACAGACAGAGACTTTGCAGCTGCTCAACTCTCAAAATTGTTTATTTTTTTTAAAACTTTCAAGCTGCTCTACTTTTTTTTTTTAAGCTTTTTATTGAAATGTAACGTACCCACTTCATGCCTCCTTCCAGCCGCTACCCACCCCAAGAGCCCAACAGTCTTTCCCTACGTTTTTAGGACAAAAACTTGGCTCTCTGAAGACGAAAACTACTGTTAATGTACACTATAAATACAATTGCAAGGGGGAAACGAGACTTTCTCAGACACTAATATTCCAAGCTAAAAAACTGTTTTTCCTTAAATTGATTGGCCTAACTGAAACTTTAATTTGTTTCTATACATGTACCGGCTCTCAACCCTTGACATTTAAAAACAAAGTTTATTTATATGCACTGAGCTTCCATCTTCTGGATTAGGATTTAACCTTCAAGGTTTGTGCTTGGGATTTGTGCGGGTGGGGAAAGAACTAGGAGTTTAAGCATACAGAAGAAAGGCCAGAGAGTTTAGGAAGGTAAACATTGCTAGGAATTCACTGTTAGAATTTCTGTTTCTAAAAAACTTAGTAAGTTCTGGATCTGAAATACCAGTCGAAGAGTATATAATAATTAGTTAAGAGTCTTCAGAACGGGAGGCTAAGAAGAAAGCAAGCAAGTTCTATTTTGACTTTGCCTAAAGTGGATTTAACTCTCCATCTAAGAAAACTTAACCATGTAAAAAAACAGAATATAAATAGGAAAAAGTTACACCCAGTGTTTATGTTCTGATGAAAAACAGCCTCAGGCACTATAATGAGTTTGTCCCATTCAGTTAGTCTTTTTGTTTGTTTGTTTCTTGTTTGTTTTGAACGGGCAGGAGTCAGCTTTTTGCCGAGGCCAAAAGACCCATTTCTCTTCCCGTAATTGCACTTGGCCACCCCCAAGCGCTCACGGGCTGAGAACTGGAGTGTGACTAGAAAGTCAAGTACAGCTTGCAGCCCTTCCCTTCCAGTAATTGCAAGGTGAAATCAAAAGTGAGTATCCAGGGCTTCCCTGGTGGCACAGTGGTTGAGAGTCTGCCTGCCGATGCAGGGGACGCGGGTTCGTGCCCCGGTCCGGGAGGATCCCACATGCCGCAGGGTGGCTGGGCCCGTGAGCCATGGCCGCTGAGCCTGCGCGTCCGGAGCCTGTGCTCCGCACCGGGAGAGGCTGCAACAGTGAGAGGCCCGCGTACCGAAAAAAAAAAAAAAAAAAAAAAAGTGAGTATCCAGCAGCTGCCATTGCCAAGGGGCCTGGCCCACGAGCAGCCCAGAACAAGGAAGTACTGTCACTGTGGGGCTCCAGTTTTCACAAGTACATACAGTTGTCAAGCATGTCAGGGCCATGAGTAGTAGGATCTAACTGGGCAGAGGCGTCAGGCTGCAGGAGCCCTTAGGTCTTATTTAAGAAGTTCTCAAGGAAGACAAAGGTCCTGAAAACACCAAAATTGCCAAACCTATTTTTTTTCTTGGATATCAGTGTGGTTTATTCCAAAGCTTTCTTTAGTTTACCATTTGCAGGGCACAGCTGTAGGCACCTGGCATAGGCATGGAAGACAAAGCCCTAAGCCACTCTGGTTATCTGCTGGGGGCATAAAGTCACCCTGGGCAGAGAGAGCAACAGAGTTCTGCCTCTGAGTTGTGGCCATGAGTAGTGGAAATACTTAATCAGTACTTTGGCTTCTGAGAATCTCTTCAGCGATGTATGAGGGTAGGGCTTCCCCTTCTCGGACTGGGAAACAGGAGTGCCCTGGTCCTGGGAGCGCAGGGAGAATGAATGAGGTCCTGTTTGTAGAGGGCTTTGAGCTGCTGGGATGAAAGCAGCTCCCCAAGTGTGAGGTATTATTAACTGAAGGTATTATTATTTTCATCTGAGAGGACAGTGTGCATCAGGTAACACAGAACAATGAAAACATGCCCCTTAATAACGAGTAAAACCCAGTAGTAGCCTTGGAAGGAACAAAATCCTTGTTACATCAGTGATCTAGGCTACAGAACGGGCCATGTCACAACAACTAAGAGAAACAACCTCAGCCAGTATTTCCTCTGGGCCCGGATAACAAGGATGCTGTGAATGCAAGTCATTGAGTTGGTACAGAGACAGGCAACAATAAGTAGCTGGAGCATCACAAACAGCTGCCATTTACCAAGCACTTCGTGTGAGCCAGCACCTTCTGAAGCGTTTACTGTCTGTTAACTCACACAATCCAGAATTCCATTTCACAAGCAAGGCGGTTATGGCCCAGAAGAGGGGAGGAGCTTACCCAAGGTCACAGTAATAAGTGCTGGAGTGAAGCGTTGGCCCAGTGTAGTTCCAGAACCTTGCGGTTAACCATTACACCATACTACCTTCCTTAATGCTGCAGTGTCACCTCAGTGGGGCTCACAAACAACAGCCATCAAGGGCACTGGGACTTGCACAGCAGACGCTTGAAAAGTAGTGAGCCCCAGATGGGGAAAAGGAGGCACCAGCTGTCTTGGGCAATCATGGGGGAGGGGTGGGGAACTGACATTCCCAACCTCCATCTCTGCAGTGCATTCCGTTCCTATTCCTTTTTTCTTCCTTTCTACCTCTTACTCCTCAACCCAAACAGATCCAACAAAGCTGAGAGAGGGAGGGACTTCCCTGGCGGTCCAGTGGTTAGGACTCCGTGCTTCCAAAGCAGGGGGCGTGGGACTGAGATCCCACATGCTTTGTGGCACAGCCAAAAAATTAAAACGAAAACAAAAAACAGAGAGGGAACTTGGGGACTCTTGGTACCCAAGGCCCACCACATGCAGGCTCCCTGTGAAACTTTGTACACCTCTGCACATCTTCTCTGATTTGAAACTTCTAATAGTCTTGAGGCTCAGAGAGGGTGAGGAACCTACTCAAAGCCACACAGCCCCTGCTTGATTTATGGTAGCAATGGGATTAGATCTCTCATTTTCTCCCGTCCCTTCCTTCCCTCCCTCCTTTTCTCCCTCTTCAAATTCTCATTTCTTGTTTCGCTGCCAAGACAAAAGGACGAGGTGGCCAGGAGAAGCAGAAAAATGCTGAGAGAAGGAGAGGGAGGATGGGAGAGGATGAAGTGCCAGGTAAAGAGACCAGATGCAGACAAGCAGCACCAAGGTCTGCGGGGCAGCTGGGTTAGGGTGGACCCAGGCACTCCTGGAGGTGAGATGGCTCCTTTCTCCTTTCGTGGACTTCGAGCACTATCGCCAGCCCTTGTTTGCTTAACACAACCTATTTTTTTTACAACTACTTGCCAGGGCAAATTTATGCTATTTCTACTATATCATGGGCAAGGTAAACTTTGCCACTTTTTTTTTTTTTTTTTTGCCGCTTTTGAAGCATTCGGGTTTTTTCCTAGTCTTTTTCCTTAAAGAAGATGGGGGCTTAGTGCAGGAGTACTTCTACTCCAGGCAAATCCCAGTCCTCCGTGATCACTGAGATTTTGTCTCAATGACAAAACATTATGTCTGTTGAGAATGTACTCTGAACCCAGCTCTGCGCCATTCTTTATTTGGATTATCTTGTTTAATACAACAACCCAGGGAGGTGGGGACTGTGCATATCCCCAACTAACAAAGAAAAGCAGGGTCAGAGAGGGTAAGTGACTTGCCCCAAGTCACTCAGATAGCTCAGGGTGGAGCTGAGATCTGAACGCAGGTACATGTGTTTGCTCCCAGAGCTCTTAAATATCACAATCTACTTTCTAGTCCTGTCCACCCCCTGGAATGCACCTTATCTTCTCTCTCAGTGGTACTGAAAAGACACAAAAGCTTGTCTGTATTATTGGAAGTAGTGGGAAGGTCAAAGCCAGTCCTCAGGTGATGTGAGTTTATACTGCTTTATACCAGATTTCGTTTTCACCAAATGTCACATGTCCACAAGGGACAAAGGCCATACCAATCCCAGCACAGTTAATGGCAGTTCCCAGAAGGAGCACTGAGGCCTGTACTCTCTGTCCTGTACCTGCCAGCCCCCTGATAAGGCAGCCCCACCTCCCGTTGCCAGGTGTGTCTTATGGTAGGTAAGTCTCTGGCAACACTTTCGAAGGGATGTCGGAGGTGGGTCTTTGCCGAGGGGGACAGGAAGAGAGGGCAGGAGACAGCCTTCTTAGGAGGGTCTTCCTTCTCTGTGGGCCTCAGTTGTCTGCTTGGACTCAGGCACCTTTCTCTCTATGGGACAGGAATTGATCAGCCTGGAAGTGGGCCTCTCTAGCCCCATCCGTGAGTCCAAAACACAGGAGGCCCGTTGCTGTGGCAGCCACTGACTTCAAGGTTTGAGACAGCCTTCCAACTTGACACACCTTTTCTTTTCTTTTCTTTTCTTTTTTTGAGAACTATATCATATACCAAGTCTGTGTATAACCTATGCACAGTTTGAAGAATAATAAACAAACACCCACATACCCAACATAGAACTGAAGTACAAGACTAGTACCTTTGAAAACCATTGCATGACTCTCCCCAAATGCATATTCCTTTTCTCCCCAGACACATAATCCTCAAATCTGCATTAAGCATTCCCTCCCTCGCTTTTTCTTTTTTACAAATTTATTTATTTATTTATTTATGGCTGCGCTGGGTCTTCGTTGCTGCGCGCGG